AGACTAACTGAAATTAAAAAAGATGATTAGATCTTTCTATTTGTTTTGTTCCTGTAAATTACACAATTTTAATTAATCACCTTTCATAGATATCAGAGATTTTAAACAATAACCAATTTATTTCTGACTAAGATTTGAATATCAGACACAGATTTAAGTCAATTTATCCATAGAAATGTGTGCATACTGTAAATCACCTTTTATTCGCAAGAACTTTATTTTCGCGTAATTACGCGAGACAGTGTGCTCGCGAATATTTAATTCTCGCGTATAATAGTATTCCTTAAGATAATATAGAGCATTAACCACAAATCGCGAAAATTGTGTCTCGCTAATCAAGAGTCAATGGCTATCTCGCGAAAATAAGGTGTCACGAAAATTTAGTGATCTACAGTATTTAAGATCAAAATCGGTGGAAATTTAAATTTGAATGTAAATAACAAATATTATGTAAATCCACTCTTAGTTTCTTATTTTTATTTTTTTTAGCTCAGGTACGCCATATATAACTTTACGATTGACCTATGTAACATGAATCCTATTTTTGTATTCATGTAGTCATATAATTTAAAAAACGTGATGAATCGTAAAAATTAATGCGCTAAAATCATTATGGTTGAAGTATGTCTTTTAGAAAAAAAAAACTGGTATAGGATTCCTTCAACCAAGATGAAGTAAGTTTTTAATGCATACTGTCTTCCGTGTATTTTTAGAAATTTATACACTGTTAATGTTATCAAATACACATTCTTCAGGGAAGTTTAAACATACACAATATGGTTGTGTTTTCCCTGCAAGAACCTCAATCCCTAGACTGTTACAATTGATCTTAAACCTTTTTCTTTCAAAAAAAGGGGAAACACTACAGTTACTGTCTTGAAAAATAGGTGATACTATGAGACCCGTGCGAATGGTAAAAAAGAGGATTGCCAAACCCACTATCAGGTTTTGCCCAAAAGCCCAGATATAGCTTATATTCTGAGACAGTTATCATGAATTTAGCTTACCCTGCAATATAATTTTTTATTTGACCTCTAAAATGAGCTTTTTACAACAAATAAATGCACAATTCTGCAGTTAAAACTATGTCGCCATGGCATAAACAATATACACTTATTTAATGACTACGAGGTAAACAGTCAAACTTTTGTCCCGAGGTAGTGGGGAAGACCAGGGCTCGACATTAACTTTTTTTCCTACTTGTCCATTCGGACAAGTGACCAAGATATTTCCTTGTCCAAACTTCAACTTCACTTGTCCAAAAAATTTTCAATTGATATTTTGAAATCAATATTACTAAAATTAAAAAATTAAACATGCTTAATTAATTAGTGTTGTTATGGATAAATAAGACAAACAACTTATAAAACAAAATTTTATCTAGAATTCCTGTCCTGACAACAATATAAATGTTTGCAAGTGAATCTGTAATATCAATCAAATATATTCCAAACCCGCAAATGTCGTAAGAACCACGCCATGCAATAGTATTGCTGCAATTAGTGAACATCGATCCCGATCAAGTGTGAGCTTAAATAGTGATTGATATCGGGATCGAAATTCGGCTTATATGTAATGTTTCCTTTTTTATTCGATAAACTTAATTCAATCGTTGTTTTTTTTTTTAATATTATTATTATTTGAAGAATTCGTTACATTAAAAACAAGAAACATATATTGACGCAAGCGTCAAAAATCGGCCGCAAACCAATTAATTTTTCCTATGAAGCAACTTAAGACTGAATTGGTGATCTGTTTTAAAAATATCTTATATTTATCTGTTAATATATATCCTCGTGACATTAAACGCTTGTGCTCGACATTGCATGATTTTCTTAATTATAATGCATGTTCAGTATTACATGTATAAGCAAAGTACCCCTGGACCTCTGCGTCAACAAACCGTTGGCCTGTATAATTAGGAGGCATTTACGTACATTAAAAGTTTAAAACTAAAGTTTAATGTAATCTACAACTAGATATGCAGTGTTTTTTAATTTAATAAAACGCAACAAATATGTGGGGCTTCTTGCTCTCTTTTAGAGGAAAAAACTGAACTCCCTCAAGATCCGCCACTACATTTTTTCTCTTTCAATTTCTTTGAGTTGCAGCGGGAAAATTCTTGGCACATTATAAAACGTGCATTATCCTCATATGCTAGGGACCAAATCTTGTAATATTCTACAGCCTGCTAGGTCTTTTGATGAATTAACATTTAACCATATTTTTGAACATGTTTATATTGTATATGTGTACACGTCATTTTAAAATAAATACTTACAACAAATCCTGTTTAAATTGAGAAAGTAAAATTGTGCAACATTCATATCGCGGTCTTTGCTTTAGACTATGCCCAACACATGTCCTAATTTTCTCCGCACCTCAAACATGTCAAAGTTTCTCAATCAGGATTGGATGAAATATTTACCTCATTCTTTATAAAAAAAATAATTTTATTTTTATTGTGCGTTCATGTTAAAGATTTAGACGCTCATTTTAATATACGATTATATTAATGTTAAATATTTATTTATTTAAATTGTTTTAACTCCGCAGAAACGCACAGCGACTTCAAACTTTCATATCATATAACCGACCGCCTCCTGGCGGCCGGTAATCACTTGTCCAATCGGACAAGTGCCCAGCAATATTCACTTGTCCGTAATTTTTTTTCATTGGTACCGGACAAGCGGACAAGTGTTAATGTCGAGCCCTGAAGACCTGGGAAACTGTTGCCCGAGGCCAAATTTATTATTTATTTATTACCTAACCTACTATATAATTAACTAAATTGGAATAAAAACAAACAAACAATCAATAAAGAGTTTTAACAACTATTTATTCACATACTCGTCTATTAATTAGCTGAACACATAATATAAAGATTAAATTAATATTAAATAATTTAAATTAATCCTTATTAAACTGATTTATTGATAGTTTGTGTATTTTATTCCAATTTAGTTAATTATGTAGCAGGTAAATAGTGATGAGAGTGTCATGATCATCAAAATGCTTGAATATCACGATGACGCTTTAAACAGTCAACAGTTCAATCTGTGGCCCGGTCAACAGTTCGACTGTTTCATGATCAGGCAAAAACATAAAATAAATCGTAAAACAGTTCAAAATGCCTAATTACAATTTATATAGTAGGTTAGGTAATAATACAATATATTGAATATAATCATATTTATGATGTCACAATGCTCACACAAGGCTATATTTCAGCATTTATTGAATAAATAAGGCTTTGGTTTATTAGGTTACCTTTTTTGGTCAATCTTAGCTTAACATTCTTATCATTTAGAGGTAAGATTTTTCACAATGGTGGTATACATGGTAGAAAGAGTCTCAACTAAAAAAAAACACTGATATTAATTTATTTCCTCACATACATTTCTTTACAATTACAAATCCTTAAATACAAGATCATGTAGCTAAATTAAATGACATTCTTTATCAAGAGAGAAACTATAAATTACATAGTATTTGATATCAAACAAACAAATTTCGTAATATTCTTTCGAGGAAATTCGAAGACGCCTCTAATGTATGCAATGTAAAAGCTTGGTTTCAGTAGAGTTTCTTAAAAAATTGAGCCGGTGTCTTAATAGCGAGCGCAGCGAGCGTCGCGAAGCGACGCTCGCGAAGCGAGCTCAATAGACTAACGTGTAAGAACAGAGGAAATTCGGATTGAAATCTGTACATACGTCAGACAAATTTCTCTGTGCAACATTCCCAGAATTCCTGCACTACCCAATGTCCTTTGCGCGAATATTGCCGAATAAATAAATAAATAATAACGTAAAGCATATATCAGACTTTCAGTTTGTAGAAATCTTTCAAAGAAACAAGAAATAACTCTGCAATGTTTTCCGACAAAAATTGCACTAGTTCTATAGTTTCAAACAGACGCTCGGCTGTCTCCGTAAGCTCCGACGAGCTTTGTGACGTCGTATGACGTCACAGCTAGTCGAGATATCTCGTGCGGCTTGACGTTCGAAGTGGCTGATCTCAAGTGTTTTTGATGGTACAACTGCGCTCGCCCCAACGGTCACACCGTAAAACATATTAATTCAATATGTGAAATATCGAAATCTACAATACAGTTCACCTATTTTCATTTTCTCACCTCCTTCTGGCGATTTACGTCGAGGATTTGTCTGAGTCAATCTTCTGACTGTCAGATGTGGCGATTTGTCGCTTACATCATCCGGAAGCTGTTTTTAGAGAGGGCCGCTTAAAACACACAAAATCCTTTTAAAAATAAATCAGTTTCTGCTTTTTTGTCATTTTTTATAAGGTGACGATTTTATTTATCATTCTGAGATTTTTTAAAAATTTATGATCAGTCAATTACGTTGAAAAACTAATGACAATTATAGTTAGATCAGGGCGCGGATCCAACACTGGCCTGATTGGGGGCATGTTCCGCAATCTGAAAAATGTGCATAACTTATAATTTATAACCCATCGCTTTGCTTATACTATAGAAATTCATTTACAGATCAATCAGGTTTTAAAACTTTTGAAAACACAGCTCTTTCTATTATCATTTATATAAATTATGGTCTGCTTTTATTTTGGCCTTAAAAAAAAAATGGGGGGGGGGGGGGGGGGGAGGAGGGGGGCTTTTCTCCCCCAACTCTGTTTATTGGTCTGTTTTCGCTTTTATATTCTGTATATCCAGGGTCCTATATACTAAGTCCCTGGTATATCTTAGTCCGAAATATCTTACGTTTTCCAGGGTTTTTTTTTTTTTAAGTTTTAAGTTTTCTTCTTGCTGTGGTTAAAACAAAGGAATTTACACTATAATATGCAAACTGTATTAAAAATTTTAATATCATTCATTTTAACCCATCCTCCCAATTTAATGCGTAGAAAACTTTAATTTCATTTTTTTTCTGAACATTTTTTAGTGATCTAAATAAACGGCATAGCAAAGCACGAAATCCATTATGACGTCATCAACGTGAAATGCACGGGAAAAGGGTGCTGAACCAACATGGACTGAAGAAATGCCAGAAATCTTCAGAAAAAATGCTTGCTTGTGAATGGCAACTCCAGACGAACATCACTACTCTCATGCAGAGGAAGGGGGCAGGAACTCCCAAGTGTTGCCATTACGGGTGTTTGAAAAAGATAGCAAATTGTCATGGACTGTTTGTGCCGTCGTCGTTATGGTACAAATGCTCATTCCAGGTCTCCTGTTCGTTTTTGGAGTATTTTTCATAGCGTTCATACGGGAATATAATACCTCCAGAGCTAATGTAGGTTTGTATCACTTTTTTTCTTATCGAATATTAAAAAATAAGTTTAAGAAGATTATATGATAAATAAAATTAAATATAAATTTGTTAATTGGTGGAAGTAAGCCCATGTCTATAAATTCGTTTACCGCCAGCATATGCATATTTCGAAAACTAAACTGTGACTTCGATTTCAGTTTATAGAAACACTACCCCCCCCCCCTTTCTCCTCTAGTATATGTCAATTAAACCCCCACCCCCACCCCTTCTCCTCTAGTATGTCAATTTATCATCTCTCGTAACATGAAAGAACCATGTTTTGAGTAGCCTTCTGAAAAACTGCGTCAATTACGTCATAAATCTAGTAACGTTGTTACGTTGTCAAAGAGGGAACGTCAAAACTTCGCGCTAAAATACAGCAACTTTTTTGAAAATGGCGAAAGGGGACAAAGGTCTTTTATCTGACAATGACGATCAGGAATTAGAAAATATGGAAGCTACATGTACGACTCCAGAATTTAGAAAGGACAGCTGGCAGTCCTTTTTGATTTGTTTTGCTCTGTTGTTAAATAGAGCTTTTATAGTCGGAGTTCTTCATTCATGGGGATTCTTTCTCGTCGCTTTCGTCAAAGACATAAAATCATCAACAGAAACTGCTGGTAAGAAATTTTTCATACTTTCATATGAAGAAAGGATAGAAAGCACTTTACCACTACCACTATTAACTATAAAAGAGAAGGACGCAGTGATATAATAAATAGGCCAAGATGTAATTTTAAGAGAAGTGGGAGTTGGGGGGGGGGGGTTAACGAAAATATCCTTACAGGCAAAAAATTAATTTGTCATTTAACAATCGAAAGAACTTCAACGCGAGAGCTTCGATTTATTTTGTACCGGATATACTGGCCATTGTTGTCCTTGAGCCCTTTGTATATTTGTCCTTGACATATTTTTTTTTTAAGTTGACCATTATCGTCTATAGTCAGTAAAATATCAAAATAATAGGCTTGTGAATTTTTTTTGTAGGTTTGAATTTTTTTAGAGTTAAACGATGAACTTAATTGAAATAAAAGATACCACCACAGAGTCTGACACATCTGTTTCATATTTGGATCAACGGCAAAGCTTTATGATAAACGTGATGCGTGATGACTTTAACTTTTCTATCGTCAACTTCCCTTACTTATGCAGCAATATACCCAGGTACCTTTGTAACCTGCATACGGAGTTTATATATCTCTCAGTTGATTCGATACGGAAGAGCAATTTCTAAAACGTGGTAACTTATTGACAAACAAGTTGATGAAGCAAGAATATCAACAGCTAGTCTCATTTATATTCATAATTTCCTTAGCTCTATGGTCGATACTATGACCTTGTCAACAAAAACAATTTATCAATAAGTCAAATGCTGATTGACTTTTTTCATACTAATTGTTAGGCCATTACCTACACATTGAGTTGTCCACAGTTTTTTTTCGTTGTTTCCCGATCAAGACAAGGAGCACATGCACGACAGATGTGACTGGTCGGCAGGGGATGCTCACTCATCCATGGCACCTGATCCCATTTCTGATGTTTTAGAGGTCCGTGTTTGCTCCGCACCTGTTTTGTAGAGTTTGATGGACTTTTGAGCACGAATGCTGTTCATTATCTCCACGTATTTTATTGATAAAACATCGTCAATAAATCTTGAGTGTCGAATTGAAGGTCATGCATAGCAAGTGTTGTCCTCTTCCTGTGTAGAAGTTCCTTCATGTAGGAATATAAAAACTATTCAGTTAATAAAGGAGCACAATAATTACCCATTGGAATTCCGGCGCATTTGTTGGTTTGAGTCTCCAATGACTACATGTTGTCAACGAGAAAGCCCCAATGTCAAATCCACGCAGGGTACTTGTGTGTACAGGGTTGTTAACGAAGTAAATAAATGTCAAATTTGCTGAAAGGAATGCGACAGTTCAGATTTGTAAATAAACTACTTAAGTTCCTCCCTTATTCTCGACATTTTTTTTTTACACTGAGTGATTTTCTTGATATCCTAATTGATTCCCTTGCAGCATGGATTGGTTCCGTAGCCTATGGATTGTCCATGACCTTTGGACCAGTTGCCAGTATCCTAGTGAATCGTTTTGGACACCGTGTAGTGATGATTGCGGGGGGACTACTCTGCGCCGTCGCCGTCTTCCTTTCTTCCTTTGTGTCCCATCTAAACCAAATGTTCGGCTCTTTCTCGGTCCTGTATGGGATCGGCACTTGCATGTCGGTCAGTCCCACCATGACCATTGCTCCAAAGTACTTCGATAAACACATGACGCTTGCTGTGGGTCTTATGACTGCTGGAAGCAGTATCGGTACCTTGATCATGGCGCCAGTTTCCCAGACCCTTATTGATGCCATTGGGTGGAGAAACACTTTCCGCTGTTTCCCTGGGACTTGCCTTTTCAGTGCCATCTGCTGCTGTCTAGTTAGGCCACTCCCGTCGTCTGAGCAGGAGACGCCATTGGAGACCATAAAAAAATCTCCTGCCAGGAAACTGATGCAGGAACTGAAACTCTGGAAGAACCGAGTGTTCGTCGTGTGGACTTGTGCTGTTACGTGTGTTATGTTTGGCTACTATATCCCCTATGTTCATTTAGTGAGTATTTCATGTCATATTACCAAAATTTCTGCATGAAGAATTAAAAATGTTTACTAAAGTAAAACAATGCGGAGAATGAACCTTTTTTTTTTTTTTACTTCAACGATATCTTTAATTTGTTCAGGTTTCTTACGCACAAGACATAGGCATCCCTCCAGAGAAAGGCTCAATGCTAATTATGGTTTTGGGAATCACCACAGCCATCGGTCGTGTCATGTTTGGTAAAATAGTGGGTCTGGGCGTCTTAAACAGGCTTCACATGCACCAACTGTCAATGGTGGTGACCGGAACAGCTGTAATGATGCTCCCGATGATCCGCTCCTTTATCGGAATCATCTTTTACGTAGTTGTCGTTGGTTTAGTGGACGGATGTTACGTCGTCCTCCTTCCTGTACTGACGGTATCCCTGATGGCAGGAGAGAATTCGGTGACTGCCTGGGGGTTTCTGATTGGCACCAGCTCCGTAACATTCACCCTAGGTCCACCAGTTGCTGGTATGTTAGCGATAGCAACTGAAGAAAGAAAGTTTTGAAAGTCTAATAATTATATTTCATAAACACACGAAAAGAATATGAACGTTTAGACTCAATATTTTGTTTTATATGCATAACAGGTGCCCTGTTCGATGCCTTGGGGTCCTATAATGTAGCTTTCCACTGCGCTGGAATTCCCGTCATCAGTGGCGCAATAATCTTGTTCTTCATTCCATGGGCACAGCGGACGTCACGCACAGAAAACGCCATGGTTGTGGTCAGTGACATGGAATGCTCTGACCAGGAACAATACGACTTCGCAGATGACCTGATAGATGAGGCAAGAAATGTACAAGAGAGGAGGTCCAAGTCTGCTGGAAAGGATGGCATTGACATTGATCAGATACAACTTCATTTTCCCGCCAGCGGGAAATCTCGCAGCAGACGATTTCGTGACCAAGGAACTTCTACATTACCAGACAACATCCAGTATGTCCCACAAGATCTTACTGAGGCTATTACCATGCTACAGGAGAATGCTCGCCTGATATCTGAAATGCTGTCAAGCGGTAATCCGCAATCAAAAGCTGAAGCAGCGCAGAATGAGAGATGGAGCGCAAAATCTCGCAGTGAAATGGTTCAGGTTAGTTGAATTTGTATTTGACTGAGCTTTTGATTCCACTTTATTTTAGACACATTGTGTTTTTTACAAATTAAAAAAAATGTTTATTCAGCCTACAGCTATGGACATTCAGCCACAGAAGATGATCAGCATCATGTCAATTCCTGGTGGACTGACGATCAGCCATTGGGAGCCAAGAGCACCTAACACCTCAGATTCCATAAGTAACCCACCATCCATGTTCAGCTCTCAAAGTTATCTACAGAACGCCCAGTCCTTCCATTCCAGAAATCTATCAGATTACATAGTTTCACCAGGGGCTCAGGGACACAGTCCATTACATCAAAATGCAGGGATTTTCCCATCTCCAAAAGATATGCCTATGGGACAACAAGCAACAAGTCCATTACAACAGGACATTGGGATTATAACATCACCAAAGGAAAGAGCTTTTGGATCACTGACACACAGCCAAATGCAACAGAACATTATAAAATCACCACAAGAAAGGAATGATGCCCCTTGTATAAATATACCAAATATATCTTCTCAACAGAACACAAGAGCTTTGGCAGATCAATCTAACATCAGTAAAATTCCAGTGGATACATCCAAGATACATTCAGACCAAAGGGATTCAGCCACAGCATTCAGCAAGAAAGTGATGTCCCCAAAATCACCCCCACAGATGCTAAGCCCCCAAGAACCCTCCACATCTGGCCTTTCCCCCAGAGCAGGAGTTAGGTCCCCTGTGTTATGTGCAATACCAGAAGTAACAATAGGACAGCCAATTAACAAACCAAAGGCTGAAGTAAGAACAGATGACCTAACAGCTGACGACACGGACAGATGGATAGATAATTCACCCAATGATCCGGAATTATTTCTGAAGCAGCATTCTGGAGAAAGAATATCAATACATTCCGACAGCCAGATTTCATCAGGGGAGGTCATTCAGTCAGACTCCAGCTTGTCTGCTGGGAAGTCAACTAGTGGTACCTCAGCTGGAGAAATAGACGTGTTTACTCACTTGTTTGATGACCATGATGAACCTACTGCTTAGCATTGTGCTAAATCAAAATCCTGTACATTTTTCAGTTTTTGTGATAAAACTTGGCATTCGTCTATGTAAGTTGTTGTTCAGACAAGAAGGAAACATTAATTTTGATTCTTTAGACAATAATTCAATAAACACATCAACAAATCCGTATATTGGTACAAATATCACACAAACATTTTCAAGCCAACTAAACAATATCATGTAAAATAAAATCATATTAAATAAAGTACAAAGAGTCAAAGTGATTAAAATTTTTCAAAAACTTTACATTGCTTTATGTAAACTAGTTAATAATGACATGAACTTCAGCTTAAAAGGGACTATATACTGGTTGGTAATGTCAAAAAGTAAACTACTGAGAGCAAAATATCCCTTGATAATACAGGAAAACTTGTCTTATCTGGACATGAAAATTTTGACAACATTCATGATTAGACAATATTATAAGCAAATGAATTTACTATAAAACAGACTAAAAATTAACATCATATTATTAAAGCAAGATTTTGGGATACACAAGATCTGGATTAGCCAAGTTTCACTGTACCTTTTTTTAAAATATGTCATTTGACTTCACCGGTTTAGACAAAAGAAAAATTTACAAAATTTTTCTGAAGATTTGTTCACAACATATAAAGTATAACCTAGGGTGGGCTGTTTTACAAAAGAACTCAAGACTAAGACCAAAAACTAATATTATTGTAAAATTTTGAAAAATTAATAATTCTGTTTGAAATTAAATGTAAAAATATCTTACTTCAAGATTTAAACCACTTTCATTAAAAAGTAAATTAAAAATATTTTTTAACAGAATTAATTCTGGTCTTAGTCATACTTCCTTTTGTAAAATCGGCCACAGGACTTAATTTGCTCACAGTAGTTGTAATATCAATCTGGCAAGATAAATGCTAATAAATAAATAAGTAAAAACATTTAGAAAAAAAAAATCAGATCTTGTGTATAAATATTGACAAACAACATAAAAGATATATAACATAATTCAACTGTTTTAAACCTTCCAGAAATCTTGAACCTAAAAAAATTTCCCCATAATCTTGTGAAGTATGCTGAAATTTTATATTCTGACAAAATGTTTTCTAACTACTTGCACTTTTTTTTACTGTGACTTCGGGAGAAGACAAAAAACATTATTTTAAAGCTGGCCTAATTAATGTATGTACAAATGTAATTACTGTAATATACATATGTAACTTAAATATCGCACACTGCAAGCACTAATAGCATACAACATCTAGTTTGATTCTTAATTTGATTTTTCTCAAAACATTTTATAATGTTTTGTCATTTCACATATTTTCCTCAGAAATGCAATACATACTTTCAGTCGATAAACTAGGTTTATCGGTTCGCAGCACAGTTAAGGTTAAAGTAAGTAGGCGGGGCCTAATTTGTACGGGAAATGTTTACAATGAAATACACACAAAATATAAGGTGTTCAAAATACAACTTAATGAAATTATTTGCTATTTCAAACGGCTGTATAGCTGTATACTACATACAAACTTACTATTACATGCAGTTTTGTCGTTTGTTATTAATCCCACACAACAGTATAAACGATGCATCGATCGCAATGCACTTGTCAATGTGACGTCATCTCGCAAAAATGACGCAGTTTGTACACGGTGAGAGGCTGATCAAATTTGCAATTAAATAAAAGGCCGTTAACTTGGATGCAATGTCTATATTAGTATTTTATTTATAAACTGTCCGTACATTTTCCAGACAAGTGATACTGCCGCGTGTTTGTATGCAGATTCATTGAAAAAGTAATGGAAGGGCCCTAATAAATCGATTTAATGCAAGGGCATACCCTCAATATATCTTATCAAGTTTTTACACATAAACTCAAGAAGCATCAAGATATTTGAAAAGTGCGGCGAACCTCATGAAATCTTGCAAATAAATTGATTATAGCTATATTTAATGAAGTTGACCAGCAAAATATTCAACCTGCCGTCCAACAAATTAAATTTTCTTATAAAGGAATCTACATAGGTTCGCAGTTTTTCACAAACTCAAGAAAAGATATGCGGCGAACCTCATGAAATCTTGCAAATAAATTGATTATAGGATTATAAATTAAACAGCAAAATAAGTTGGTTATGCCCTTGCAACAAATTAAATTTTAGCAATTAAATAAAGGAATCTACATAGGTTCGCAGCACTTTTCACAAACTATGTATAATAATAGTGTTAAAAAGGATTATAAATTAAACTAAGATTTTTAAGTTGGTTATGCCCTTGCAATATTGGAATTTATAGATGACCTCTAAACTGCAAGTATGTTAAAATCATGTGACGTCGACATCACATGAAAAGTCTAAATAAAAAATCGAAATGTCCCCAATATGTAGATTTAAACCAAATTATATGTTTTTGATATCAGTGAAGTCCTAAAAAGAATTGCCCATCCTAATATATTAGTATGTATTTTTTAACTTAAAAAAATGCTGATATTTCCATTTGTAACCTTAACTGTGCTGCTTTGTAAACTATAGTTTACGGACTGTAAACTATAGTTAACGACGTTAATCTATATTTTACATCTGTAAACCATAGTTAATGCAATAATCTATGTTTCACAACAGTAAACTATACTTAACACCGAAAACAATCATTTGCGATTGCAAAACATAGATTATCTGATAAATACAGTTTCACGATTTGTAAACTATATATATCAGTTTACAAACCGTTAACTAAAGTTAACGATCTGATAAATATAGTTTCACGATTTGTGAAACTATGATTAATAATTCTAAACTATAGTTCACGATTGTAAATTATAGTTTACAAACGTGAATCTATGTTTATCAACAAAATTTATTGTTAACGCCTTATTACACACAGATAAACTTAGATTATCATTCGTAAACTATAGTTAACAACCGTTAAATATAGTTTACAGATGAAAACTATACTTAACGAATCGTTAACTATACTTAATGAATCGTTAACTATAGTTTATGGTTTGTAAACTATAGTTTACAGTCGATAAACCTAGTTTATCAATTGTCAAACTAGGTTTATCTTTTTTTGTGAATTTGGCGTGCCATACCCGTGCGAGAAATTTTTGCAAGTTTCACGATAGAGACGTCACGCAAATATTTGTCGCCGCGAACTGGTCATTAGAGTCTCTGTGTCTCTTTAGAACAGATCGTGAAAATTTATCATCCCAAATTGCTTTACCTGTGGTAAATCATGAAATAAAGTCGTCATAAATATAAGTTGGTTTACAGTATAGTGACTTTGTAGAGTAAGTTGCAACATTTGTTAAGTATGCTAATTTAGAAAAAAATGTCTATTTAAACACAGGCACCTGACGTTACTTATTTTTCTTTAAATAAAAAAAAATTCCCCTTACCTAATAATTTACTAGGTAAGGGGTATATTTTTTTATTAAAAGAAAAATAAGTAACCTTGGGTGCCTGTGTATTTAATTTTAAGTTAGTCTAAAAATAAGAGTATCATGAACAGAACTAGTTTTAAACTAGTGGTATAGGCATTTAATTATCAGGTCCTGCCACTATTTTCTTCTTGAAAAAAAAATGTACTTGATCACTAATGGGTCTCATTTCTTTGTCCAGTGGGTGATGTAGAAAGGATTAAAAAATGTGTCATTATTAACTTGTCACCAAAAACGAATATATTGTAAGATCAACATAGAGTAGGCTATCTGCTATAATGTAGCCCTCTCCCTTTTTTTGGAAAAAAATCAGACAAAAAAAATCAGAGAGGGCTTCATTATTTCGGCTAAAGAGTACTGTGGAGTCACTAATTTTCATGGGGGTTTAATTTTCGTTGTCTTCGAGATATGGAGAGACCCTTGAATTTATGACCACCACGAAATGTAAAATTTTATATGCATTACTACTATATATTTTAAAACCACAAATTCAAATCTCCCCACAAACCAATATTTTTTCCTCAAACCTCGAAAATTTGACCCCACGAAAAAACGTGATTTTACAGTATACATGTAACGTTTGTTTTTTAAAAAAATATCATACTTTATTTTTTAGGAAAGATATAGGGGTCACAATAGGGAGGAGGAACGTTATAACTTTTTCATCCACTGAGAATTTTAAACTATTTTATAGTGATTGTGATTATACTACTTGGGTATCACTGATTAAAGTAAACCCTTTCTTGTCATGGTACATATAACATTTTTGAATTGTTTACACAGTTAGATATGTTAAAGAATCTCACTATCTCATATTTCATAAGCATTTTACCCTCCATATCTCAAATTCTCTGAAATCTCAGAACTTTTTGGGGGGTTCCATTGAATTCAAAATAAAGAGGCTTGACTGTAAATGACTATCACTGCTGAGGAATAAGTCATTCCTGAAGACAGACCTTCTTTGAGGTACAAGTAAATTTTCTTTGCAGTATTAAAAACTATCTTTGTTTAGGAATGCCATTACTGAAGAAAGACCTTCTTTGCCATGGTAATGGTGGATCTGCACATTGGACATATTTTGATTGTCTTGGCACAGTCTTCACAACACATTAAATGTCCACAGGGCAGGAATACAGTGTTAAAGTCAGAATCAAAACAGATTTTACAGCTTGGATCAAAGGACTGCAAAGACTGCTTCAGGCATTTCATATCTATACAAAGAAAAAATATAACCATGCACTAGTTTGTTTATATAAATGTAAGGCATATAATGACAGTCTAGGGAATCCGACGTGGATTAAACAGATACATTATACCTTACAGTATACAGTACCCGCATCGTTATTCCTACAAATCTACCAAGGTGTTTTTCAGGTGCGTGTATCCTATCGTATTTGATTTCCTAAATCCAGAATGGCCTTACTAGTGTTTCCGTTTATCGTGTTTTGCTTTTTCAAATGGACCTCGTGTTTTGCGTAGTAATCGTGTTTTGCGATCGTGTAGATCATTTATCTATATAATGTCTCGCATATTTATCAGGAAAAAAATACCAAGGATTCAGAGTTTCTTTTTCGTTTTGTTAAACAATAACCCTGTAAAGAGAGATATTTTATTCCTTAGTTTGCATTAGAAATATGTGAAAGGAATACATATATATAATATAATTAATAAATTAAACAATTAATAATAAATTAACTTAAGAAAATAATATATTAGACAAGCAAAGAAACAAAATTTTTTGAAAATGAAATAATCGACTCATTTTTTTATTCATGGAAATGAGTCACTAGAGGATGATTTTCGGTAAGTCACGGAACATTTTAATATGATTAGCAGAGGATTTATACGTATCTTTTTTAAAAAAAATATTATTTGCCATATCGTCTCAAATCCTTTGTGTTGCATGTAGATGTATGCACAATTATTTAATAGAATCTTGTTTAAAAACAAATTAACAAAGCTTTAAGCATTTAAACATAAATGATCCACACAGACTTTACAACTTTTCTCCGTAAAGGTACACACTACCTTTAGTTAAAATTTCTAAATATGTCTATATTTAAAAAAGAATTATATCAAAAAAATGTAATGCATGAAAATGCTCTACCCGATTTATCACACCATGCATGGCAGTTACTATAAAATAAAAGTTTTACATTAATTTTATCTGGCATTAATAATACAGGAAAAAAACATGCTGGCTTTGAACAGCTTGTTGCATGGAAATAAACTAAAATATAATGCTCCTGCGTGTCAAATCGAAGAGCTTTCCCTACCATAAAGCTGACACGTATGTGTACCTATCTAATCAGCACACTGCCTTCCTGTGCGGTCAACACCCCTTCCCCTAGACTTCTCCTCTAGCCCCCCTAAATGATAGCTCGGCCCATGTGTAGTCACCGTCAACATACCTGAACCGCTCTCTCACCTTGTACACTCATAACATATTTTTTTTCCTTCTAAATCAATTAAATAATTGTACAATTTATGGATTTGAAAAATCATTCCCTAGCTTGAATTTAAATTAAAAAAATCACATAACTCAATCCGCTGATTTATTTTATCTGTATGATGTTTTCATAACTTTATATAATCTTATGTCTTTTAATGATATTTATAAAAAATATATTGCACTTATGGTACATGAACTTTCGGATCATCTTTTTTTTCTTTCGGATCATCCGGTTTTCATTGGGTTACAGACAGGATTAATTCTAGGAAACAATTTCTTTGGTCGTAAAAAGGATTGAAATGATTTTAACATTTAAAACTATGAAAATTTGCACGTGCATTTCTTTTTTCTACAGTGTTTTACTATAATAAAAAGAAGCTGATTCCGCCGTGACCATAGAAGACGAGTAAATGTATTGCACCCAATCAATTTATAGTATTAATCGATTTCATTCCATACGTATATATCTTTATTTAAGAAGTCAATATTATTTTTGGCTAAATGTATTTGGTTAAATCACGTTTATCTAATTTTAACTATTGGTTACGGACTTTCAAAATCCCGCCCTTCGAATACGCCGTATATAAGATTACCGGGTAAGTCTAAAATAATTTTCAGGGTTTAATAATTCATTTCCATTAGAAACAGTAAACACAATGTTTAGTAGCAATGATTTATAATTATTTAGTTGGAAAAGGATTTCACCCTTTTAATATCTGTTTCTAAATTTTTGTGTTTTCTATAGTAAAGAAAAAAAAGTCATTCAATGTTCGTTAATTAATACGAGGTATCTGATATATAAACATTTACATGAACATAAGTTAGAGCTTAGCGTAAACGTACATGTACATGTGCAGTTGTAGCAGATTCATATTCTGTTGACACATTTTTATGTATTAATGCAGAGCGCCATTCTATTAACAATTATTTAGATTTCTACTCAGGAAATTAATTTTCTTGAACTATATAGTTCTTTAAAGCTGATTTCTTTGGACCAGTCTTTCGTCCGTTCTTCTACATGTATTTTTTCCTAAGATTTTAATATTTAATTGCGATTTTTGGATACACCGCAGATTGTAAGCTTTAGACATTAAATACAAAATTTTAATTGATTGCGTAATTTTTTTCCATGAAATAATTTAGTATTTGTAGATAAATCTATTAGGTACAAATTTATATATTTTCATAAATAATAAATCTATTTATAGAGTTTGATAAATTTATAATGGTACCCTTGAGAAACGGCACATAATTATGAAAGGGATTTTTGTGCAACAATTACATGTATGTTAAAATATCCATAATTAAAGGAGTCATAGTTCAACGTTACCTTAAGATGAGAATTTCAACATTTACACAAATAATCGTAAATCCACATCCTTGAGTAGAAATAAAAAAAAATTACAGTCTCCATTTCATAATAATCCATTTAATTATTGTCAAATAATATGTATAAAGAGACAACTTTTGTAAAATTACCCGTGATCTCAATTTCTTTTTATGATAATAATTAAACGTAGTTTATAATTTAGATTTGACGATTTGCAAGTACTTAAATTAAAATATTGTAGTAATTAAACAAAATAATCTTTTCGTCTTGTCAGAAAACGTTCCGCATTTTGAAACAATCCTATCAGGTTTTGCGTTTATCCTATCGTGAAGATCGTTTATCAGGCCTATCGTGTTTTGCGTTTATCGTGTTTTGCGTTTATCCTATCGTGCGTGTATCCTGTCCTATCGTGCGTGTATCCTATCGTATCGTGCGTGTATCCTATCGTATCGTGCGTGTATCCTATCGTATCGTGCGTGTATCCTATCCTATCGTGTATCATGTCAAGAATAACGTTGCGGGTACTGTATGAGATATATTTTAGACTAGGATGTATTATACCTTACAGATAGGCCTACGTACCAAGGTGTTTTTCTGTTGGAGTCTGTTTGACCTCCTCTGTTTTAATTTCATCTAAATCCAGGATGGCCTTGACTAGTGTCTCCACATCAAATGGACCACCTGTAAAAAGGAATGCATGTAGTATCAGAAAATAGAAGCACACATATCTTTAAATGCATATTAATCTAATGACTGTTGCATTTCTGATTTTTTAAACAATAACCCTGTACATGACTATTTCATAGTACTAGTTTGCATTATTTGTGCAGGTATAAGTATGTGCATGTACGCATAGAAATCATACATGTTTTATACATGTATGTAATCATTCAAACTTCTCTGATTTATTCATTTCATTTTTTTTTTAAGTGCAGATAAGCTGTATTTTTAATTGCATGTTAGATTACTCTGTTACATTTCATTTACAAAATTAATAGGCAAGATAGATTACCTACCACACTTTTTAGCTGCCTTGCTGATAATATCGGGTGAAAATCCAATCTGTCTGGCCATTTGTTCTGGAGAAGAGGATTCCTGGGCCGCTGTATGACGAAATGAAACCAATAAATATTTACTCCTCTGTCACATATACGAGGGTTGTCCCGTAAAATCGTGGACAAGTTGTCTAGTTTGAAAAATAATCATCACTGTGTTCTGAAATATTCACCACTTTTTAGTAGATAAATTATGAATATACATAGCAAATTTCAAATAGATATATGCATAGGTAAACAAATTGTGATATTTTATGTTATATACTGTATCGCCCTACGGCGCACGGATGATAACGTCAAAGTGTCTAAAACAGCGTCACGTTTCATCTTTGCTAAACTTAAAGTTGGATACGCCCCACTTAAATTTAGAAATTTTATTGATTTACATATGTGAGTATCTATAACCAGTTAAGAAACCAATGTGGCACACTCATGCGATCTTCTGAATATTTATTAGCAAGTTACAGACAGTATTCTCACCATCATTCAACTAAAAGAGAATCTCACATCGACGGTCGACAGTGACAGCGTCCTTTGCTATTACAATGACAGTCTGTCCATATGTGTTGTACTATCTGGGGACTCGACCACGAAGAATTCACTAAGGTAACTTTCATTTCATTTATATACTAAAGATCTGGTGATATATTTTTCATATTTTCTTTCTTCTGTATTCATTTAAAGTCTCTTAAGGCGTCATTACAACATCCTAATCTATCTGAACTGCTCTCCTGTGCGCCGTAACGTCATATAAAGTCGCCATTTTTCGTGTACTGTGTTTATTACTTTCCCATTTCAAATGCTCGGGAAACTGCCAAAAATGAACCAAATGCCTTGACATTTTTAAAAAGACGACAGAATTGATTAAGGAATGGAATTAGAATAATTTTCATCCTAACTTATGTATTGAAAACTTTTATTATGAATTAATTCTTATGTCTTCTCTAATGTAACCTTGCTATTTTTACCGTGCGCCGTAAGACCGTACCTTGTGCATATTCAAGCAGAATAAAATCTTTATTTTTGAATATATATTATCAAAAACATTATGATTCACTTAAATATGATGAATAAACATTTACTGAAAATTTCAGCTTAGTGCGCCCATTACTTTTCGAGAAAAACGCTTTGTCCACGATTTCATGGGACAACCCTCGTACATTTTATTTTATACAAAAATATGTGATCATTGTTTTGTTTCTTGCATTTCCAATTAAAAACCATCAAAATTAAGTCTGTGAAAACTTTTTGTTACAGTTTCTTTTTATACAGTTGAGTTTCAGTATCTTGAAGTTCACTTGAATTTCTTGTCAAATACAATGGATATACTGGAGTCATTTGGAAGTCCAAATCCCCATTTTCTAATTATTTTATTCTGGATATCTTGATTCCCTTTTTCTCTGTTTCATTGAGGTTGAGATAATGTGATCTGACTGTATGATATTAAAACTTACTACAAGTATGGTCTTTTGATTTTTCCTTGCCTGCTTTTTCCTGGAATATATGAAGATGTCTTTTTAATCTGACTACTAACTAAAGCATACCAAGTAGGATACAGTGTAATGAATAAATCAAGAAAAATGTATTAAGATCTTACATTTATCCTAGGCTAACCTTAATAAACATGTACTTGAATGAATATTAAAAACTTTTCTATAGTGCTACACTGATGGGTATGAGATCAATGCTTTGGTGCTTTTTATCATATGATATACACATACCAGTCTATCTTTTGTAGCATGTGAAATCATGCAGGTGCATTATAGATTGTCAGATTGACACAAAGATTTGAGAGACAAACCAGGTAAAATTTCCACTGAATGAGTATAGAACTAGCATGGTTTGTCTATCAAATCTTTGTCAATCTGACATTCTATAATACACCTGCATGACTGAGCATGAAAATTTCACCTAATCAAACCATTCTCCCCATAGTTTTTTTTAACATGAGAAACATCAATAAGATTTTTCCAATTTTGTTTTCCTTTTAATATCTTTTCAGACTAACGATAAAACATAATCCCCTTACAGCATTGACAAAGAATGGTTCCGTCTTGATGACCTCTAGCCACTGACAGTGTTTGAACCACTTCCTGTGTTCCAGTATAGGTATGTCACCTGGTTCCCAGTCCGCCAGAATTCCATTACACCAGAAGCACTTAGTCTGGTCCCCTTTCCCTGAAAATAATAGCATGTAAATATTATAAGACACATATAAGTATATGTTAAACACTGTGACTGATATATACAGATAATTTCTTTTGTTTATTATAAAGTAACTAAATTAAAAATTTTATTGTAATCAATCATACATACAAAATCAAAAATCTGATCAATAAAATTCATTCTTTAATCTGCTCATTTTCCTTGTTTACATGCATGTAAATGTACTTAATATATAAATACAGTAAACACACATTTAGTGAAGTGACAGAGACAAAACAATTTCGATTCACTTTTCATGCTATTTGTTACATCCATTAATTTTACAATATAATTAAGAATCATGGGAAACGAAAAATTCTTCATTATAAGCATGATTTCCTTAGAAGCATATTCACTATATCTGAGTTTTACTGTATGGGGAAAATGAGGAAGCTAATCAAAGATCAATTTATGGATATTTTGTGGCAGGCCGCCGAAAAGGAGGAAATGCATTCAGAAAGCTGTTTAAGGCTGATAAGTTCACCATTGTATATACATGTACTCTCTATCAGATGGGGGCTACAGCTACTTAGAATATTTTTGGACAAAGTGTTTGTCTATCACATTTACTTGTCTAAGAGGTAGTCTGATTAAAAACAAACCTTCACTAGCTCCTTTTTATTTTGATTGTCAAGTGAAGCTTCGTGAATGCAACCATCAAAAGAAGGTTTGATTTTAACCAGACAGTTTAAGAGGAAACCTATTAGCAAGCCAATTGCAGTTCTTCCTTGCTAGATTCTTTAGATAAAAGAAAAAGATATTTACTTAATGCTGACGGGATAAGATAATCTTTAATGTCTGTAAATTTACAAGATTTTTTTGCAAACTTTATCTCAATATAAATATAACATGTGTTAGTAGATGGTTTTTAAAATACAGGATTTGTCAATCATTCTTTATCTGCTTTGACATGTCTGATGTTCAATTTCAATGCAAAGTAAACACAGAAGGTCCCCATAAACTTTACCAAGATAAAACATCCCAGCCCGTGCTAAATCTTCTTTCTTCTGTGAAAACTGTGCAGGCCAATCACTGAAAGACTCCAAGCGACTAGAAAAGTCTCGAAACTCTGGAAACTTATACGGTGATATAATGAACGGACATTTAGGAAAGTGTTTTCTGTGTTCTAATAAAATGTCATCATTCGGTTCCCAGTCACTGAGGTAGCCTCGGCAATATGTACATCTCACCCGGTCTCCATGTCCTACACAATAAAATCCTTGTCTCACAAACTCTTCTTTATTCAGGTAGTCTTTGGAGGTTGGCCAGTGATCATAAAATGTCTGAAGCCGACGCTCCGAGTCATGACGAAGCTTTAAAAATTCCTCCTCCGTTATCTGTGCTGACATGGCAAATCTATATTAAAAATAAGTTATGAACATAGTTACACTACACCAACCTGAAAGCATACATAAGAATTATCAGTAATCATTGCATTGATTTGTCTCTATATACATGATATTGATTTAAGTATATCAGTTATTTTTCTTATGAACAACATAAGTATAAGCACTTCAAATTCCCTTGATTTGCTTTTGTTTCTTTTGCACTATACTGGATCAACATGAAATTTGTTGATAACAGGCACATGTATACATGTATTGTAATCATAGTTACTTGAACATAACTTACACAATGTCATGAATGCATGTCATCTCGTCATTGCCACTCACATCTGATTTTTAAATTAACAATGACTACTTACAGGTCTAGATATAATGACAATCTAATGTAGAGAAAAAGACTTTCAAAGAATTAGTTCAAAGGTTACATCAGAGAGTGATGTTGCCTTGAAAATGTTTGTGTATATAATGGTTACCATATGGATAATACTGGTATGGTTACATGTGTGTACACATAAGATTATTTATAGATTATGGCTATGCATGTGATTGTCATGTCAATAATTTATCTTGATAGGGTACACTCAGAATTGAAACATTCAATGGAGCATTCATTTCAGTATAAAGAATTAGCAGATAAATATAATGCAAAGTGTTAGGCATTTAAATGCAACCTCAAAATTAAAAAAACTATTATCATCATATTCATGACCGTTGCCACATAATAAAAGATTTACACTTTGTAATTCAGAGTAAAGCCATTTTCAATAATTTCTCTCTACAATGTGCAGACAACTGTGCAAACTGCACAATATGCACCAGTGCATTAGATCAATAGATGCACATGTCCACGGGTATTTTAGTCTTGATTAATACTTGTATAAAATGTAGACATATTTATAATACCAAAAATTCTATTTTGACCTAACCTGCTGATATATTCCCCAAACAAAAACGTCTCCATTTTGAGTGTGCAGCAAGAAATTGACTTGTTGAATGTTTGCACAAAGTGCATTATAATTTGCATACTGCAAACTAATTCACAATATATAAAATGGCATAGAACATGAGGCTTAAGTGTAACCAATCATACTCACATTTATAAAACCTCCATAAATCTTGCAGATTCTGGAATGTAAAGGGTATTTACCGATTTTTTCATCATTGATTAAAATGAAACAGAAAGTTGCCAGGAAAACATAATAATTTGATAGCTCGTACAAATTTTATTCGGAATGCGTCCTTTTTTGTTTAATTGTGAGATCTATTTCTCTTTATCTTTATAAAAGATTATTTTTTCCTCTGTTGACTGTATTAAAAAATATTTTACACTTTTCATATCATTATTTTCTATGTGATAAAAACACGTACGAAAATTAAAAGACCGAGTTACCGAATCATTCAAGCGCGGGAACTCAGTCTTCGACAGGTGGTGGGAAAATGTTACCAAATAATTTGTCTCACATCTCCTCTTTGCAGCGAAACCCATCTTGTCCGAAGTGCAATGGGTTCTTTGTTACGAAAGGTAATCATATTATATCAATGGGATACTTCTCTCTGGAAACTAGGCATGCATACTGTCCTGCAAATCCTCCACGTTGTGGGAATAATAACGCTGACAGTCATGCAAAATAATGCATCAGTGACCCAGTTTTTAGATCTTAAGTATTGTAGCATAAATCATTCCTTAACAGGTTAATGTTGTTATTTTATTTTTATGTGTCGTTATATAGAATTTGCTTAATGCATGATTAAACTAAATGAACAAGGGAAAGGTAACTCCAGCGTAAAGATTCAGCAGTTTTATCAGTAAACATGGTAAAGTGAAAATTAATTAGAAATAGGCATAAATCCTACAAGTGAGTTGTAATGAATTAGGTGATAAGAAAGCAATAACTTTTTCTGATTTTTCTCTAATGTGCTATATTTAACCAGGAATGGAACACGCACTAGAAATCACATCCATAATGTTAATTTATTGAATTGGTTATATTTTGTATCTTTTAATATTGCCCCACTCATTTTCTTCTAACACGATTTATTGAATTAGCTATGATTCATGCACAATTTAAAAAAAAAATTGTTCTTAAATGTTCTGAAATAAAAAAAAAAAATTTCATATCCTCTGCTTAAAAAAAAGCAAAATAAATTGCACACTGAATGCTACAGTCCCAAAAACGTTCTACTTTCCCATTTTTCTGTTCGCTCACCGTTCGTTCACCGTTCGTTCAGCGTGCGTTAAACGTTCGCTCTCCGTTCACAGTATTGCGTTCACCGTGCGCTCGCGTTCACCGTTCACAAAACGTTCACCGTTCGCTCTTCGTTCCGTTTACTTTGCGTTCACCTTGCGTTCACCGTTCACTTATCGTTCAGTCTTTATTGTCATTCGGAACTCTGAAGTGAAAGGACTTATCTTTTTGATGGTAAGGATTTACACGTTTTTTAATTAAATAACTTAGATATCGTGTTTGAAGAATAATTATTTCATTGCAAAAATTATCTATGGTATTTATATTTTTATTGTCATAACTCAGCTGTTACTTTATTCATGAAATTTCCCTGGAAAATAAAACATTAAGTACCTACTGTACATGTATGTAGAACGATGCTAAAATATTAAATTTTAAAAAAGGCAATGTACAAATGCTTTACACACGGCAAGAATTTGTTGTAATGTTAAAGACGACAAAACACCAATGGATGTATAATAATTAATGCTTTTACAAGACATGAATACACAAAAAATTATTCCTACAGTAACACGTGTTTCAAACTACACGTAGGTCTTAGAATTAAGAACAGTACTGCAAATATTCAGTTAATTAAATATTTTTTTGAGCTAATTAAATTGATAGTGTGGTTTTAAATTTTAGAAAACACCAACTTTTTAAAATAATCTTTTATTAGAGATAGAAAATTCCTTCCATCACCGTACCAAATTATATGTTTGCCATTCAGTATAATTAAGCCCCCCCCCCCCCCCCACTCCCGGTGCCTTTTCTCCCCGAAATAAAATTCTTAGTACTTTCAGTACATTTTACTTAATATCAAATGTGTATTGTAACTCAAGAAAATCAGTCTTAAACCCAACATCAAACAGTCATTAAACAATATTATTTTAGAATAAATTTGTGCCAACAGTAGTATTTTCAAAACGAAATATGGCTTACATGTAATACAGTACAGGCCGTTTTATTTAATACCTGTTTTATATCATAGGCCGTTTTTTATCATAGATATTTAAAACACAAAACCATTTCTTAATGATTCAATGTTAATTTCTTACGTTATTATCATAGGTAAAAGTGTGTACTTCGGTTACTATCATAGAAAAATTTCGTCCGAAATATTTTTTTCACACCTTTTTCACTCTGGAGACAATTAACAAAACAAAAGATAACACCTGTCAACACCTGTGGCCCATGCACTGTCGCTTGTCTATACACAATGGCTTGACTGAGGGGGATTAGTCACACTCCAGCGCACTTTACCTGAGCGATGACTGGAAGTTTGTTTATTTCACAAAGTACATTACACAACAACAGGAAGCCATCCACAATCTTATTTTCTTCTTTTGTTTAATTGTACATTGATAATAAATGTGTTTTACCAAAATGTGTTGAATCTAAATTAAGTGTCAATTTACCCAAGCTATCTTACGCTTGTTGCCTGATCAATGGTCATAATTAATCCCATTTATAAATTGTCAAATTTATTCAGAAGTGATGTGAAATTAACTTTTTAACCAGCCTGTCCAAGCGGCTTTGATTTACATCAGTATATCAATTAATTTAATTTCAATTAAACGGCACCATTAAGTGTAATTAGCGCTTGGGTTCAAGGAAGAAAATAATTGGGCTTGTGTTTTAGATGAATTTTCCCTGACACTTAATAGCTTGAAGGTTGAAAAAGAATGAGAAAGAATTAAACAATATTAAGTCATGTTCTGTTATGTTGTAACATAATTTTGATACCGTAAATATTGTGTAGTTGGTAAGCAAGTTGTGTTATGCTGAAATGTTGAACTAACATTTTTGTAACTAAATGTTTTTTTCGTTTGTACGTTTTTATATATTTTTTATAGATATTTTCTCTTTTTGTTTTGTGTTTCATTAAAACTGCAACGTAAAAAAAAAAAAAAAAAAAAAAAAAAAAAAACGAATTATTAATAGATTGAATTGATCATAGAACCTAAAAACGAAAGTAGATCAAAATGAAAGTTAACAAGATGGATGCCAAGACATCTAGAAGATTGAGTTCGGAGATTATTAAGCTTTAGGAAAGTGAATTTATTTATACAAAATGTTGAAACAGTAAGTAAAAAAAGTAAAATGATATGTTAGCTAACTTGTTTTTCAAAAAAAACCTAAAAATATTAAATTAATACTATAATACTTATTAAATATAGTGTAAAAACGACAGGCATGTTATTGATCAAGTCATGTTCATGTCAGACCTCGGAGATGAATTTCAGCTGTCTATGGTTATAATCATAGTCGGTTATTATAAAGTTTTGGCCTGACAAATAAGCTATTATAATAAACGGCTTGTACTGTACCGATTTAAGATTTCAAAGAATTATCAATATTATTCATTGACTTTTTCTGGAACTAAATACATTTAAGACTTATTTTAATGTTTCAGATTATAAATAATTATTTAGGTAATTCTCAGACTTAAGAAAACGGATTTGTTTGTTCTATCAGAAGGTGTACATGTAGGTGGACCGTAAAATTTGATTGAATTGGATTTCATAATATGCAGAAAGTGGAATACGATTGAAAAAAAAACGCAGCATGAAATGTCTTAAATTACAAGTTATATCCATGTTTCCATTGATTCAATGCTTGCGAATCTCTAAAAATGATTTTACCAATTATTTATCAATTTTTCATTTGCAGAAATTTAAAAAATTAAGCTCCAGAGCTAAATACTGATAAACAAATTCCCGAAAATTATGTCGTGTGCATGTACATTCGCCGACGAAATATTTATGTAAGCTTTTAGAAATGTTTATTTGTAAAAAAAAAAAAAAAAAAAAAAAAAAATATTTATTTTTGGTGTATTTAAAATTTTAAAAGTATCTTGACCACAATAACCAGTAAACAAGAATTAACATTAGAGAAAAAAAACGTTAAACATCTAAACTGTACGGTTTATCACAATAGGGCACACTATTTGACGAGAACATAATACTGTACGACTTACTATATTGTTTGTTTACAAGCGATAATTAGTTTGTTCATGTATGCACCGCGTACAATGTAATTAATACATTCAATAAGTAGTAGTTTTATCATCTGAAGTCCACATTATTTTATTAGTTAAAAGAATAAGCATATCTACTATATGAATAGATTAATTTTATATTCAAACTACACGCGTTCGGTAACAAATACACATTTTTACGGCAATTAAAATCGTGTTATAAAATAAAACATAGGTACAAAACTTTTTATTATTCATTTATTTAATTATTTTTTTATTTATCTATTGTTAATTTTTATATTAAAGCACCTGAAATTAGAATTATAGAATAATAGAATAATTTCAATGAAAAGATAGGAGGCATTCCGAATAAATCGTTCATCTTGCTTTCACCGTTCGTTCACCGTTCACTTTGCGCTCGCGTTCGCGCTCCGTTCGCGTTCGGCGTTCACTCACCGTTCACCGTTCACATATCGTTCACCAAGTTGCGTTCAGCGTTCGCACATCGTTCACTCACCGTTCGCTCTGCGTTCATTCACCGTTCGTTCAGCGTTCGTTCACCGTTCAGGTGGGAAAGTAGAACGTTTCAGGGACTGTAGTATTCACTATTATTAGATGGAAATTTAGTAAATTTAGAATGCTTTGTATCTGGAGAATTAACATGTTTGACCAATAAGGCCAGCATTTTTTTATTTTTAGGTTTACAAACCCGCCGCTCAAGTTTTTGAATTTTCAGAAAAAAAATAAAATTGAGAAAAACAGATTTTTTTCTTTCCGAAGTCAAATTTGAGTCGGGATCGAGATTTCAAATTTACGAACTCGTACTTCCGGTTTTAAATGCAGCACTAAAGCTTGGTTTAATGTAAATATTTATCGATAAGAGTGCCATTCAAAACGTTTCACCCGTTCAGAGAACAATAAAATGCTGACGACTTTGTTGCAAAGTGACATGGTGGTGAGATAATTATGTATCCGTATTCAAAAGTAACTGTAATTGTAAATTATTTTCCTCCCAGAGGTTTAAAACTGCCCATGGTAGCTATTGTCAGAGACATTGTTTAGGTTTCTGTCATAGCTTACAGTCTTAGCATCATTCTTCAGAAAAGGGTCGCTAATGCATCAGATGTAATGAATAAAACTATTGGAGAAGTTAAGTCCACTTGAGGAAGAAATAAACAATAGCCTAAAGAAATAAAATATTTCAACTATTTAAAATCAATGATACACAAATATATACTGGCATGTAGTATCGTTTATGGCAGCCAGAAAAATTATTTTACACTTAATTAAAAAAAATTCCACCCTACTCCTCAATACTCCTTGGGAATACTCCCCGTCTGTTTTATGAAAGGAATTATTACTTTTATAGGTCTCAAATATAATATATTAATATTTTAGAATAATTTCTACCTAACACACATTAAAAACAAAAATGAAGATATATTAAAAGAGATTTAAAAAATTGATTTTTTAAAAAAAATCTGTATTTTGTCCAACATCAAAAGATTTATATCACTGCCCCCAACTGGTAGATGATGAAATAAACAATTAAAGGTTGTATTTTCCCCTTTGTAACCCTTATGTGTCCAGTGGCAAGAAGCCTGTTAGGAGAGCATAAAAAAAAAAAGCAAAAATTAATGTAGAAAAGTCAATAATTTATCCAAAATATAATTTTATTTTTTTTTTATTTCCTCCTCCTACGGGACTTTTTCATTCTGATGTTCGTAAACCTAAAAATAAAAAAATGCTGGCCTAAGATTTTTGTATAACTCCTTAGATTTTGTAATAAATTTAAAGGAATTGCTGAAACCTTTGAAGCCATGTACTTGTCTTTGTATTGCTATATGATGAAATTTTGGATTTCAAGTCTATTTTTCTGATATGTCAACATTTTCGAATAGTCCCGCAATGTCTAGGAATTGAAGTCAACTTGTACAGTGTATATGAATCTGTTTTATTTTACTTTAAGAGCACAATCGGCAACACAGAAATCCTCTTATTCTGGACTGTGGCCACACATTCTGTGAGGGATGTCTCACTAAGATGGCCAGAGAGACGAAGACCTCTGTGTCATGTCCAACATGCAAGGTTAGTTTCAGAAAAAAACATTGGTGCTTTTCAGGGTCAATGTGTCACACTGAAAGGCATGATTGAGAATTGAAGGTTAGGTGAACTTGACAACAGTTTGTACTGATCAATGAACACAATAAAATTATCTGTATTGTAAGCTTGCTACTTGCATTGAACCTCATAACCTTGAACTGAAATTGAGCTTTTATAGAGATTTAGCAGTAAATTGATGTATTATGTTTCAGACAGTGACAGAATTACCACAAGGAGAGGCCAGTGTGAAGAATCTGTGGCCAGATGTCTATGTAACAGGATGGATGTTGTGTCAACAGAGGGCACTGCTCAATCAGTAAGTCTCAATCTCTACTGAACTTAGCATTAGAATTTGAGAAAATGTTTGCCTTTTGTGATGAATAGAAATTATTTACAATAAATGATTCAGTTTATTAGTATTAAACTTTCTTACAGTATTATTTTTTCAAATATGAAGTATTTTTTTCCCCAAGATAAAATATTGGAAGGGCTTTCTTACATTTGACAATTTGAATTTTTAACAGAACTTTAAAGCCTCATAGAAAATATCCTTAGTGTAATATTAAAATGGTTTGGTTGAAGATATTTTCTTTTTCATATTTTATTCATTGCTCTTCAGAGAACTTGAGAAGTTATCCCCAGCAGGAATGGTACAGAACCCTGGGTTCAGGACTGCCCCAGATAAAGGAGGTAGCTCTATAAATCAGGCTTAAGTTGAAAAAGGGAAAACATTTAGTAGCAAAAAAGTTTAAATAATTTTGGTTGAATCTGTTTTGGATGAAATATTATATTTTAAACCATTACTTAATGGCTATACAACTTTTTGCAGAGAAGGAAAAAATGTGCCGAGAGTGTTTTCGAAGATTAGCGATGTGTCGATGTGACAAGTGTGATGTCATAATGTGTCATGGATGCTTTGAAAAGGTACAAGTGATGAAAAAATAAACAGAAAATGTTGAGTATGCATATGCATGTACATCTAGATGTTGCTTTAAACTACATTTGTAAGAAAGATTCCATCTGCATCCAAATTAATGGTCCAGAAAAATGTCATTAGTTGTAATGATAAATACATTGATGTATACAATTTACATGTTTTTGTAAATCTCCTGTAGGTCCATTCCAAGTCCAATACTTTAAAACAGCACCAAGCTTTGCCAATGGAAAGTGAGGACAGGTACTATAAAGTTCTTTTCTTCTGAATTTATAAAATATTCCATAACATGTTTGACCGAAAGTATTTACATGTAGGATGTAATCTTTTTATAAGTGAATTAATATAATTACCTTCTTATAAGTGGAAATTTTAGCAAGACAAATTTAGCTATTTGTCTCTAAAAACTGGTATTTTAATTTTAGCGAGATGTAATTTTAGCGATTTTAAAATGCTCTCGTTAGAACCTAATACAAATAAAATGCAATTAATTTTTAGCGATATTCAATATTAGGGATCGCATAACCCTCACTAACAATGCCAAAATTAAATCCTTGCTAAAAATTCTGCTTATAAGGTATAATGTTTTCACGATACAATTTTAAATAGGTATTAGGCCAAACAAAAAAATAACTTTGTTTACTGTTACATGCTGAAATAAAATAGGGTCGGTAGGTAGGATTTTTTTTTTATTTTATTGAATTTTTTTATACACAAATTCACATGAATTGGTTGAATTAAAAAACAGTTTTACCATTGTATGGTGCCTTACTTTTGTTTGGGGTTGTAATATGGGTGGTAGACAATATTATCTTTCTTGCCAACTGCCTTATAACTCAGGGGTGTGCAATTGAAAAAAAAATCAAGTACTAACCCGCAGGTTTGTAACAGCAATAAAGTTACTAGTCTGCAGTTAAAAGTGACCAGTCCAAATATAGGGGCAACAAAAAATTGTAAAAACTAATATTTTAAAAAGTTCATTGTTGAGAAAGCCAGGCCAGGTCCTAAGCCATTCCTTTTAAAGTTGAAGTTTATAAATTTTAAGAAATTACCTTTTCTTCTCTGAACATATTGCACTAGTCTAGCTTATCTACATGATCTAAAATGAAGCAAAAATCATTTTATTTTCATTTCAAACCTTTAAGTATAATTGATATATATTAAAGTTTAATCACATAACACTTAGCTATCAGTTGATTGGGGGATCGTATATAATTGAATGAGATATCTGCATGCATTTACTATTAACAGAGGAATGGAGGAAATTCGGATTAGGAAAAAAACGATCGTTTTTTTAAGTAAATAAGTCAGGTAGTACTGCAAAATGGATGAGATTAAAGTGATTTAAGAACAGTAGGAGCATGCTGCCTGGAAAATTTTCAATAGTTGGAAATTAAATAGCAAAACACAGTGTGCGAAATTAACGGTGGACCGGTAGACAATGTCTATAGAAAATCTAGTCGGTCTATACCGATCGAAATATTAATAGACCGACTTGTCTATAGGAATTCTGAGTAAGAAACTGGTTCCCTGCTTGTCTCTAATAAACAATGATAAACAAACCACAAAAAGGAGGACCAGTTTAAATAAAACGTCTGTATTACACTGATGTATTCCGTTCACCCCTTAGTTATAATAGTTTGTTCCACGATGTATGCAGAAATAATTCGAATCGAATATTTTATTTTTAACATAAGGGGAGGTTAAGTTGTGATTACTTAATGGCCGCGGACACCAAAACAGTGCAGAAGAAACATGTCCTTCTTCGACCGTTTAAAGTATGTTGAAGGTGCACGCTCGGGAATTATTATTACTCTTGTCTATCAGACAGACATTCTCAATGTTTGAGTCGTTTATCAATGCTGTTGTAGTCAGTCGTCTTACCGTGTTTTTTGATTCTTGTTGTAATCTTTTATCCAGTACAAAAACTACTGGAAAGTGTAATTATTTCACCATTTTACATCAAATACGTTTATTTTAATTTCAATATTTTAGCATTGAATGTAGTATTCTAAATTTCGGTCCATAGGAAGTTGCTGCGGTCTATAGAAAATGAAATGTCTATGGACTGAAAGTCTATAGGACTTTGAAGTTAGTTTCGCACACTGAAAACATTGAGTGAAAATACCGTTTGTGTTTCTCATTTATTATATGCATAATTTTAATTTTATTTTTACTACCCCCAAAAAACGGTAGCACCGGGCGTTGGGCGATGCTAGTTGCACACCCCTGCAACTGCCACGCAATGGTAAGCAAATTGCAACGAATGCGTTGACGTAGATCTTGAACTCACTGCCACTGGTTTTGTTTCTGTACTTTCAATTTCGATTTCAAAGATGAATGTAAAAGTTAAATTGACCGGCCAGTAACTTCCGGATTTTTATGATGAAAAAAAAGTTTGGGTCGGCGATTAAAATTAGGGTCGGTCGGGTAACCGTAAACAAACATATTTTTTTGTTACGCCTTAGTGCAAATTTTAAGTAGCATGTACTGGTATGAATATGAAATATCTACCAACAGGGCACACTATAATGTATAGAGTATAAATGGTTTACATAATGCTTTTGCAGTTTAAAAGGGGAGTTAACTCAGGATTGTCCACTGCATGAAGGGAGAGAACTGGAATATTATTGTGAAGATGACAAAATGCCAATCTGCTCCAAGTGTGTGATATTTGGGAACCACAAGGATCATGTCATTACATCTATGGAAGAAAAGGTACTCTGCGTCTAATGGGTTCTAGTAAGTTTAAATGAAGACAAGGAGACAAATTCAAAAACTTTTTTCTTTGAGGCTTTCTTATTAGTCCTGCTTAAAGAAATAAAAAAAGTTATGTATTGTTTGAGGATGTTTAGCAATTTCTTCATATTTTCAGAACAAAACAGTTTTCTCTGAAATGGAGCCAGCTTTGCATCTTGCCAACAAAGTTGTAAGAAAATTGATTAAAGTTGACAAGGTAATTTATATTTCTGTTTTATTAATAAATAAAAAAAGCCTACACAATAGAAACTACTAAGTATTCAGTGGAACCTTTCTTATGTAGTTTACTGTTAGTGGTCATTCCTATTCCAAATCTCTCCTCCTGTATACTTTGTATGGGTATCCATATTGACTAGAAAAGCCTTTAACCAACTACTTTGTATACAAGGCCACATAAAATTAGAATCTTTGTTCTCAGGCCCGCGTGCATCCATTTTGAGGTAGCCGCATTGCCGATTTTATTGTATTTTTGATAAAATAAAAAGTTGGTGTTGCGGAGACCAATCCGAGAAAAAAAATTCCGACCTCATTAGCTCTTCTGAGCCAAAGGCTCAAAGAGCTAATGCTATGGCCATTTGTGCGGTGTGCGGTGTGCGTTAACTTTTTAGAATATGGGCCATAACTCAAGAACCCCTTGGCCAATCAGTGTCAAATTTGTCACAGGGTATCCTTGGCCCAAGGGCTACCATTTATACTAAAATAAGGGTTGGGACCCTAAAACAAGGGGAGATAATCAGGAAAACAAAACCAAAAGTACTGGTTGCTAAAAAATCTTCTTCTCCAGAACCACCAGGCAGATTTTCACCAAACTTACATACAAGGATTAGGATATGTTGAAGATTAAAAATTGTTCAAGGCATGACCCTGGGGCAAAGGGCGTGGTCTCAAGGTCACTTCAAAGTTGACCTAAATTTACAATTAATAAAAACGTGTATATTTTGCTTACTATAAGGACTAGGATCATCAAATCTTGTAAGTTGATGCATCTTACGACTTCACATCATGTTAACTCAAAAGTAGGTCACGGTGACCTACTTTTTAAATTTTGCAGGGATTTGTTTTCAAATTGATTTGAAGGCATATTTTGGACACTTTAAGGCCTATGATCATCAAACTTTGTCAGTTGATGCATCTTGGGTCCTCGAACACTGTCAACTTAAAAGTAGGTCACCGTGACCTACTTTTTGAACTTTATGACTTATCCTTTTAAAAACATTAAATCACATTATTTCAGACACTGTGAGGTTTAGAATCATCAAATCTTGTACTTTGATGCATCTTGGGACTTTAAAACATATTTATGAAAAAGTAGGTCACTGTGACCTACTTTTTGAATTTTGCTGACTTTTGTTTTCAAATTGTTTAAATCGCATATTTTGATTACCTTCAGACCTACAATCATCAAACTTGGTCAGTAGATGCATCTTGGGTCTTTGAAAAATGTCGACCAAAATATAGGTCACGGTGACCTACTTTCGACATTTTATGGCTATATTTAAGTATCTTAGGTATTTATTGGCTTAGAATCTTCCAACTTTGTGAGTCGATGCATATTTGGTTTTCGGAGAGTTACGACCAAAAAGTAGGTCACGGTGACCTACTTTTGACATTTTATGGCTTTATTTAAGTATCTCCAGTACTAATTGGCTTAGCATGATCAAACTTTGTGAGTTGATGCATCTTGGGTTTTCAGAGAGTTACGACCAAAAAGTAGGTCATGGTGACCTACTTTTGACCTTTTGTGACTAAAATTAAGTATCTCTGGTACTTATTGACCTAAAATGATCAAACTTTGTCAGTTGATGCATCTTGGGTCTTCAGAGATTGTGGACCAAAAATTAGGTCACAGTGACCTACTTTTGACATTTTATGGCTATATTTAAGTATCTCAGGCACTAATTGGCTAAGAATCATTAAACTTTGTCAGTTGAGGCATCTTGGGTTTTCGGAGAATGTCGACCAAAAAGTAGGTCACGGTGACCTACTTTTGAATATCTCAGGTATGTATTAGCTTAGAATCATCAAACTTGGTCAGTTTAGGCACCTTGGGTTTTCGGAAAACGTCGACCCAAAAGTAGGTCACTGTGACCTACTTTTGACATTTTATGGCTATATTTAATTATATCTGGTACTTATTGGCTCGGAATTATCAAACTTTGTCAGTTGAGGCATCTTAGGGTTTCATTGAATGTCCAACAAGAAGTAGGTCACGGTGACCTAATTTTGAATATCTCGAGTACTTACTGGCTTAGAATCTTCAAATTTTGTCAGTTTAGGCATTTTTGGTTTTTGAATAACGTCGACCAAAAAGTAGGTCACCGTGACCTACTTTTGACATTTGTTGGCTATATTTAATTATCTCTGGTACTAATTGGCTTAGAATCGTCAAACTTTGTAAGATGATGCATATTGGGTTTTCAGAGAATGTTGACCAAAAAGTAAGTCATGGTGACCTACTTTTGAATATCTCAGGTACTCATCAGTCTTTGTCAATTTATGTATCTTGAGTCCTCAGAAAATTTCAATCAAAAGGTAGGTCACTGTGACCTACTTTATGGTATTTTATTATTATATTATATCTTCAGTCTTAACTGGCTAAATATTATCAAACTTTGTAAGTTGATGCATTTTGGTTCTTATGATACTAATAGAGTTGGAGGCTTCTAATAGAAGTGATAGATTGTACAATTTATCAGAAGAGCGATTCAAGGCCCTTGGGCCTCTTGTTTCTTTCGTAGTTTAGTATTCAAATATTACTTCTGGTAGTCATTTACAATGAGATTTTGGCTACCTCGTTTGAAAATACATTCGAGGACATTACCTACGATATTTACATGCTATTAAGCAATGGATAAAGCAGAAATTTTGACCAGAAATGGAAAGTATAAATGTGATTAAAAAAATTATCTTTATGTTAAAGAAAATTAGGAAATTAAAATTAAAAAAAATACCTCCCTCATCTACTTTATTGCCAATAAAATGAAAAATAAACTGCCGCCCTCCCGCATCTGTTTTGGAGAAAATTGGCCTGAGAACCAGGGAATTAAATTTAGATAGCCCAAGATACAAGATTTTATTAATCAAATTTCGACCCCGGAGGATCAAAAAGATTTACAAATAGAAGGAGGAGGATCCAAATGATAGAACAAGCATGATGATGATATTACAAATAAAGAGCAATTGGTAAAAAAAAAAAAAAAAAAAAAGTATATGTAGGCATGTCTTATTTCTTGTTTTACAGACAGTGACAGAATTCTTCCCCGATACAAAAGTGGAGACAGCTGCTGTGATATATGAGATCAGGGAACACTTCCAAGAGTTACATGGACTACTCCAAGCCAGGTATGAAAGATGTCATGTATTATACTCGTATATATCATTATTTATGCTCATATATCCTCAAAGATTAATTATTTCGTATTATGTCTTAACAAATGTGCTTATTTTGATACTGTTTGTATTAAACATTTAGAAAAAAGAATAAAAATGTTAATTTATATAATTTGATAATTTTTCTTGAGTCTTTAATCTTTATGATTTTATACTGATTGGAATATTGTCAGTATAAAAGAGCAGTACATACAATATACATGTATTTCAGAGAGAAACAGCTGATAGATGAAGTGTTTGCTGCATACAGAGAAGGTGTAGAACCTCTGGAAAATCTGGTATAAATAACGTAATCACAAAACAACAGAATATCTAGTTTCTGGTAGACATATCAATTGTAGACAATGAAATACTGAGCCATGTTTAGTAGGATGTATTATGGAAAATAGATGTCACATGGTTTCATTCCTGAATCTAGTGAAAGGAATTGAAAGTGGTGCAGTCAATACATGTAGTACAGTCAACTTTTATGCTTAAGATAAAAAAAATGTTTTTATTATTTTAAATTAGTCTGTACCAAGAATTTAATAACACAGGATAGATTTTAGCATGTGATATTAGAAGAAAATAAATGTCTTGCCATTTTTTTTCCAACAGAGACACCAGATGCAGGATGAGAGAATGAAGCTGGAGGTGGCCATAAGAGGTTAGCAGTTTGATTACAAGTCACACGAGCAAAAGTATTTGCCAATTTGTGTGAATTTTGCATGCTATGAAAAGATGGGTTTGCATGGAAATAAATATTCATTCAATGACAACAAGCATCATTATTTTCAGTACTGTCTTCTTTCTTTGTGTCATTACATGTTACATTTCAAGAGATGTACAGTAAAATTTGCTTATAATGAAGCACTAGGGATGGATGATTTTGCTTCGCTATAAGCATAATTTGTTTCGTTCGTTAAATTTACAACATATTTTCAAGTCTTTAGGATTGAAAATCACTTCAGTTTTAATGTAAATTCATTATAAGCATGTTTAATTGTATATAATTGCTTTCTTTATGTTGCAGCAGCTCAACGAGTGTTGAACAATAATAATGAAGTAACATTGAATGCCAAGCAGATTCTGGATCGGTTAAATCAAGCCAAAGAGATTCCCTGTATCATTCTACCTAAGGAAACGGAGACCACCGAAAAAATCAGGTCGGAATTCAGGTCATGACAAGTTGCAAATTCATATTTTAAGCTGTGTCCTTAATACTTTGCTGAAATGTAGCGTCTGAATATAAAATACTGTTACGTATGGTAAAAAAAAAATTAATCAACTCACAATTTTCAAAGACAAAAACTTGGATAAATACATATGTATTTGCACATTTATATATATTTAATAATTTCGTTACAGTTTTATTGAAGATGGTTCATTTGCGACCTCCATTCTCAGTCACGGAAAAGTAGTAGGGAAAAGTCAAGTCAGGTAAAGTAAACATGAAGACAAATATATCAAACTTTTAAATAAGAAACATTTTCCGACTGAAAAGATTAGGGTCAAACTAGGTAATCATGTAATAAATTTTACAACTCTATTTGCAGAGCTACATGGCACACTTTAGCAGAAATGCCTGCGGAGATAATGAATGATGATGACAGCGTAGGAAGTTGTACCCCCGTAGACACGGTCAGTGTGGTGTCCACGCCCTACTCCCAGGAGTCTGAGGAGGTCATCATTGAAGGTCAGCTATAAATAGATATCCCTCATTACAGAATGAGTTTCAAGTGTTGAATGTTGGTTTTATTTCTCTGAGATTGATAATTGCTCATTTTAAGTTACAAACTGTAACTGTTTCATATATAGTGTGTACAATATGTGGCTGAAATATTATTACATGTGTATTTCAACAAGTTAACAAAAATTTTGTTCAGCGCTTCATTTAATATGCTTTTCATATGTATACATGCATGCTTAAGATTTAGCAATGTACTCAATTCATTAGAAACTGCTTTCTGCCGAAGGTGCTACAAAGCCTAATGATGAATGTTTGTTTAGAGTATGAAAAATTCTTGTTAAAAATAATCAATAAAGGACTTAATTTTTAAAGAGAGAGAATGAGAGAGATAGAGAAAGACATGTTAGATAATGTTCTTCCTTCATAATGTGTATTAAAAAAGACAATCTAACATGATACAATTTAAGCAGTATGTTATGTACAGATTTTGCTTATTTATGATTAACAATGTGCTATTAAACATTTATATGTATATTGAAATATAAATATGAAGCTTTTATGCATGCATTATTTTTATTCTTAATTTGAAGAAAAAAATTGACATTAAGGCTATCTAAATTTAATTCTCTGGTTCTCAGGCCAATTTTCTCCAAAACAGATGCGGGAGGGCGGCATTTTATTTATCATTTTATTGGCAATAAAGTAGATGAGGGAGGTATTTTTTTTTAGGTCACCTGAGTAAACTCAGGTGACCTATTGCTATCTGTTTTTGTCCGTCGTCGTCCGTCGTGCGGTGTGCGTCGTGCGTTAACATTTAAACATTTTCAGCTTCTTCTCTGAAACCACTGAACCAATTTCAACCAATTTTGGCATAGAGCATCTATGGGTGAAGGGAAACAAAATTATGAATTTCGTGGTCCCAGCCCCCCTGGGGCCTGGGGGGTGGGGCAAAAACCACTAAAATTAGTGCAATCTTTAAAAATCTTCTTCTTTACTCCCGGACATCAAGCAGTCAAACTGTTGGTATGAATGTAATCAGCATTGAGTCCTCTACCAAAATTGTGAAATTCATGCCCCAGGGTCAGGGGTTCTGGTGTTAGGGCGGGGCTCTATATTGATTATATAGTGAAAATGCATTAATTCTTTGAAAATCTTCTTCTCTGCTCTTGGGAATTTAATAAACAAATTAAGTTCTTAGTTATGATGAGCAAGAGTGGCTCTACCAAAATTATGAATTTTATGGCCCCAGGGTCCGGGGTTCTGGTGTTAGGGCGGGGCTCTATTGATTATATAGTGAAAATGCATTATTTTTTTGAAAATCTTTTTTTCTGTTCCTGAGTATTAAATAAACTAATTAAGTACATAGTTATGATGAGCAAGAGCGTCTCTACATAAATTGTGAATTTTATGGCCCCAGGTCAGGGGTTCTGGTGTTAGGGCGGGGCTCTATTGATTATATAGTGAAAATGCATTAAATCTTTGAAAATCTTCTTCCCTGCTCCTAGGTATTAAATAAACTAATTGAATAAAAAGTTATGATGAGCAAGAGTGCCTCTACCAAAATTGTGAAATTCATGGCTCCAGGGTCAGGGGTTCTGGTGTTAGGGCGGGGCTCTATTGATTATATAGTGAAAATGCATTAAATCTTTGAAAATCTTCTTCTCTGCTCCTAGGTATTAAATAAACTAACTATGTAAATAGTTATGATGAGCAAGAGTGCCTCTACCAAAATTGTGAAATTCATGGCCCCAGGGCCAGGGGTTCTGGTGTTAGGGCGGGGCTCTATTGATTATATAGTGAAAATGCATGAAATATTTGAAAATCTTCTCTGCTCCTAGGTTTTAAATAAACTAATTAAGTACATAGTTATGTTCAGCAAGAGTGCCTCTACCAAAATTGTGAATTTTATGGCCCCAGGGTCAGGGGTTCTGGTGTTAGGACGGGGCACTTTAATGATTATATGGTGAAAATACAGTACATCTATGAAAATCTTTTTCTCTACTCCTGGGTAATAAGCAGATGAACTATTTACATAGTTATGAATTGGGCTCTTCTTCCAGAATTTTGAATTTCAAGGCCCCCTGGGTCAGGGATACCAAAATGGGGAGGGGGGGGGCTCTACTTATATACTGAAAATGAATTGTTTGAAATCTGATCCTTGGTATTAATCAAACATTTTTGATAAGCAAGTGTGCCTTTTCAAAAATTGTGCAATGTGTAGACCTAGGGTCAGGGGTTCATGTGTGGTAGGAGCACTCCTGATTATTGTTGAATATTACTGATTAGTTGACATACTTTTTTGTTCCCCTACCCTGCTTATCGGTATTAAGTAACAAACTTAACAATTGCTAAGTATAGTTATGATTAGCAATGGTGCCTCTTTCAAAATTGTGAATGCCATAACATCTAGCTTAAAACATGAACCAAATTCAATCATTTGAA